AGTTAAAGAGACTAAAAGATGATCTTGATTGAAAATAAAAAAGTAATTGAGGAAATTTCCCTCTGTATAAATTGAAAATGGTATTTATTTTCCATTTAAAGATTTTTGCTTTTTATTAAGTAATAATGCATCATCATAATGCTTTCTTTTTCCAACATTTATTATTTTTCTTTCTTCTTGGTAAATTTCATAGGTAATCCTTTCTTTTCTTAGATAAGCTTCCAGTGCCTGAGTATCATTTATTTTGAAAATGTAAGGAGCAATTTTTTCACCTTGTTCTTTCTTCAAAATACTTCTAATAGTACTATAATTCTTTGGTTCCATAGTAGATCTGATGTAAATGAGTTTCATATTAACTATTTTTGTCTAGACAAATATCATGATCATGTTACATTGGTAATACAATTGTGATGTTAAACAAACAATATGGATCCCTGTAATTCTGGTAATACCAATGTTCACTTTGTCTGGTTTTGTTACAGTATACCCCAAATAATAAATAATAAATAATGAATTTAGAATTTTTTGGTTTGTGTCACGTCAGTCACGTGCAGCCAATAAAATGCTTTAATTCCCTAAATGCACACCCTCCCTAAATGCACGCTCTCACTCATTCCCAAGGGGGTGCACTTATGGGGGTTGACTGTATCATCAATATATTTATATTCTAAATCTTTTACCTGTCATTAATACATTGTAAGAGTTTCTATTTCTTTTTAATTTTGTTATCTCATTTTGTAATTCATCAATTGAAGCTAAAGAATTATTATTATCAGTTCCAATATTTTCAGTTGACATATGTCTTTTAAATGACTTGTTATCATTTTTCTTGTTGTATTTTTGATTCCTGTCATATTGCACCACAAAATTATATGTACTTGTAAAGTAACTTTTCTCATAAGTTAATTAGTTTCGACTAAGGAAAACTTGGTAATAAGTTAATTAGTTTCAACCAAGAAAACTAAATAAATAAAATAAATATTTTTTTTAAATCATTATCTTCTTTAAACAAAATTATTCACTAATAACAAAAATCAATTCATTGATCCCTATTCATTCTGATCCACACAAAACAAAAATAATTGTTATCACCAATTAAAATATGCTCTCCCAAATTTAATCAGTGACATTACTTTTGAAAATGTATTAAATTATTCTGACCCAAATCTTGTTGGTGACCAACACGTACAGAAATTTCTAATTGGGCATTATTTAACCTTTCAGTTTGTTTTGGAGATGATGTGAAAAATTTAACCAATTTTTTAAATCTTTTGACATATGGTTTGATTGATCCAAGTGCTTTATTTATAGTTAATTGAAGTACATGAGCAGTGCATGGAATTCGTTCAACTTCTTCCCACAACTCAAATGCTTTTTTCATGTTACTTCCATTATCAGTTATGCCACAAATTAATTTCCCTTCAAGCCCAAATTCATTAATTTTATTTTTTAGATATTCAAGAATTGTTTGATTTGAATGTGGATATGGCATTTTTTCAATTGCGAGCAGGACATCAACTAGTTCAAAATCTGATGTAAGCTAGTGGCATGTAACACCTATGTAACCTACTTTAGATCTTGCTGTCCATAAACCAGTGATAGTTGCAGTATCACAAGTTTCTCTTATTAGATTGATTAATTTTTTTTTTGTAATATGTATGCTTTTGTAATTGGGTTTTTCATTGTTTTGTTGTTTGGGATACAAAACCTTGGATCCAATCTTTTCAAAAATTGTTTAAGCTCATTGCCTTTCATCACATTAAATGGCAAGGAATCCAATACAACCCATTTTTGTAGCAGCACACTCATTCATTTAGGGGATGTTCTTTGATCATTTCAACAACTGTTCTTTGATTAGTTTTTTTTCTAAAAAAAAAAAATATTATTATATATAATACATAGATTTACTTTAATAATTTATAAACATACTTGTTCTTGAACAAAAATTTCATGTCTATGTATTAAATGATAGTTCAATGTTGATGTAGATACTGAGTTTCTTGAATATTTGGAACCACAATTTGATACAATTACATTTAATATTATTTCCATCATCTTCAAAATAATCCCAGGTTTTGGATTTTTTATTACATATTTTCCCAATAATATTTCTATTACCACCATTGTGTGTCATTAGATGTATTACCAGTATCAAAACCCTCATTATCTTCAGCTTCATTAAATGATTCATAATGTTCACTTGTTACATCCATTGTTACAATATTTTTATGAGCTAATGAAAGAATGTAATATTATTTATTATTATGTGTGAGAATTGATAATTACATAAATGCAAAAAATGGAAAAATGAAAATACACAAAACCTGTCTTCTGACGAAACTTTTCTTTTGGTGATATTGTTGAACCAGTTTCAGGTGGAGTAGGTGGTAACGTGTGTTCTGACTGAATCTAATGCTGATAAATTTTCAGCTTGCTTAATTATTAAAATAAATAAAATTATAATTCTTTTTTAAATATATATTTTTTCTACCTTTATTGGCTCCAAGTTTCAGGTGATGAATTAATATACTCTATGAATTTATTTTATGAATTATTAATTTTGTGAATTTTGTTGAATTTATGATTAACGGAGAATATGGAGAAGCCACAAGGTGAACATTATTGTACAAATTGATCATGTGGCTTTGTCATATGGGAACAAAAAAAAAAGAATTGCCATATTATTAGGAAAAGATTGTAGCATCAGTAGCAAGCAGTAGTAGCGTTATATTAAATCATTAATTTAAAAAAAATTAATATTATGGTTAACTGGTTAAATTAACCGGTTTAATCTTGTTGTTTTCATATATAAGTTAAAAATATATTATGTGTAAACGTTTTTGAGAACAATCCAGATTTGATCAGTATTTAGAAATTACAAACCTGAATTATGTAATGCATGCATAAAAATCAATAATAAAATTTATAGTTCACATAATAGATCAAAATATTAAACTAATGTGTGTAACTGATATTAATAAAAAAAAAGCATTACATCATATGTATTTTATTTCTATTTTTAAAACTCGAACTCAAATGTCTTCTCATAACCAAAATCAACATGAAATATCAATTGATTCTGAGGTATTTATTTTCTTCAATAAATTGTCATTAAATTTAATAAGATAAATACATAATATAAAAATATATTTCCCAATTTTAAAAGTCATATGTACGAGTAATTCATAAAACAGTATCCATCCCGTTGGAAAATGACCATAACCGTAATTTTTATTATATAAATGATGATGATAAAAATTTATTTATTGAAATAAATAATTGGAAGAAATCACATATCGATGCCAGTCTAGCTAAAGCCTGTCAAAATTTCTGTTTGTCTTTATTTTTTTTGTTTTTGTTAAATCGAATTATTTACTGTTAAACACATTATAATCAATTTATTAACAAATTAATTTTTGTTCGTATAAATAGCATCACATCGTAATGGTGATGCAATTGCAAAAGTTATATATGGTTATCATCAACCAGATTTCATATTGAAATTTGAGGAGGATTACAGTGACGCGAAAGAGAAAAGAGAAAGAGAAATAAAACGTCGAGGTTTTGAACAATTGTTAATGTTGTCTGGTTTGATAGTAGAACGGGAATTTGAACCACAGGATATTCTTCTAAATGAAGGTAAAACTAGAAATGTTTACGTCAAAATATATGCATCTTTCCAAAGATTATGCGAAGAAGCACAATTTCTTAAAATTAAAATGTTGTTAAATGTAAAGTAATGAAGGTTTATTATTACCCATTTCATTATTAATATTTTAATTAAATGCTTAATATAAATCTATTTGTTTGTTATTTCAAATTTTATAGAAAGGAAATTCTAATTTCGATGATGATGGTGAAAATGATGAAAATGATGAAAATGATGATGATAAAAACAAAAAAAATGGTGTCATAGGATTTTTTTCTCATATAATTCGTGATTTCACATATGAAATGGAAGGAAATAAAGTATCAGCATTTTTCAAAAAAGATTCTCCAGAGAATTATATAGGTGACAATGAATCAAAAGATGATTTTATTTTAAATTTTTGGAGTTCTGCAAGAAGAAATTTGTTGGTATGATTTTTAAACAAAAATGAAAATATTATTATTATTATTATTAAAGACTTTTTTAATATAATGTTTAGGTTCATCGAATTATTATCACTGCTAATCAAATTAATGAAAAACTAAAAAATGAAAAAATGATAATTGAACGTAAAACATGTATAAAATCATTATCCATTAATCGTCTGCTTGATCAAAAAGTATATAATAAATTTTATAATCTTCATGATGGCTCCTATAAAGAAGAAGGTCCTCTAGATAAAGTTAATCTTAGAGCTAAATTAAATCAATCATGGGCAAAATTTAGTCGGAAAAAACAACCTTTAGGTGATATTAGAAAATACTTTGGTGAAAAATTGGCACTTTATTTTACATGGTTAGGTAAATATAATATAATATAAAGATTACTAAGTAAAATAAAACACTTTTTATGTGCAGTATTTAATTTTTAAATTTCACTTGTATGATTAGGCTTTTACACCACATGGTTGACAATACCGTCAGCTGGTGGAATAATTGTAGTTGTATATGGATTGATAATGTAGACTTTCAAATCAAATTATTAATTATTTAAGCATTTGATAATTCAAAGGTTTTAACTTTAGTTTCAACTAATAAAAAATTTTTATTTATTTAGTTTTAATATTAATGGAAAAGACAGCGGAATTTATTTATTATGGGATAATGCACTTACTGTACCATATGCTTTATTAATGGCAATTTGGGGTAATTATTTAATTTACAATATTAATGGTTTTGCAATAATTATAAGAAAATGCTGATTGGAAGATTTTTTAAAATTTTAATTAGCTACATGCTTTTTGGAAACTTGGAAGAGAGTCAACACATTCATTAAATATGGATGGAATGTAATGGAATATGAAAAAGAGGTTGGTGGAAATGTTAATTTGGATTTTTACTTATATAATTTATATAAATAAATTTATATTGTTTATTAATACTATTTCAATTTTTAAGGAGTTACCAAGGCCAGAATTTGAGGGAACAGGTATATTATTTACTTGTTGTTATTATTTATATATTCATCATTTTAATGATAATAGTTATTGATTTTTCTCTCTTTTACATTAAAGTTTTAAAACGATCACAAATAACTTTAAAAAAAGTAGTCCGTTTTCCATTTATGAAAAAAATTCAAAAATTTATAATTTCCAGTGTTATAGTATTTGTTTGTGTAAGTAATGTTTTGTTAGATTTTTATGTGGTTTTTAGATAATTTGGATAATAAACAAGTATATATATTGTAAACTTTTAATAGATTGGAATTGTTATAGTAACAATTGGAGTTTTATTGGTTTTTCCTAGATCATGGGTTAGTCAAATAGGAGGAATATGGGCACCAGTTGTTGTTGCATTAGTGAATTTAGCCACAATTTTAATATTGGACATGGTAAAATTATATATTAAATATATTAAATAATCACAACTCTGAATCAATAACTAAATAAAAAAAAATATATTTATAGTTGTATAAAACAATTGCTTTTCGATTAACTCAATTTGAAAATCATAGAACAGCTACACAATTTGAAGGTGTTTGTTTATTGTTATATATTTTTTTAAGAGCATTTATTGTAAAGATACTAACATCATCATTTATTTTAGATGCATTAATTTTAAAAACTTATCTATTTGATTTTATAAATTTTTACTCTGCTTTATTTTATATTTTAATACTTAAAAAACAAGTAAGTGTATTTATTTATGGAATTAAATTTTCATAAAAACTATCTGATTCTTTTTTGATTAAAAAGTTTGCAAAAGATTTTTTGCCTCAAAATGGCAATTATCCAGGGTGTGAATTTCAGAATAATTGTATGGCAGAGCTTACTCTTCAATTGGCAATAATATTAATTGGCAAACAAACAGTTGGTCACATTCGAGAAGTTTATATTCCGTACATACAAACAATATAAATAAAAATGATTTAATTTAAATATTATTTTGTGTTGAAAATTAATTAGCATTTATATTAATATTTATATTTCAGATGGTTCCTTGCTTATTTTAATAGAAGATCAACAATTTCGAAAAATAATAGCAAAAGGGACATGTACAAAAACAAAGAAGTTCCACAATGGGCTCAAGATGATAGTTTAACCAAACCTAATAATGTTAGAGTTGAATACGAGGAAATGGGTATATAAAGAATCAATGTCTAATTGTTGTTAATTACATATATACAATATATATTTATATATATTATAAAATTTAGTTATACAATTTGGTTTTCTTGCACTGTTTGGAATAGCATTTCCTTTAGCTCCTGTGTTTGCATGTATTAATAATATGATAGAAATCAGATCAGATGCTATAAAAGTAAATATATAATTAATTGTTTCATTTATTTATTTATATTAATAACAATTTTATTATATACATTATAGTATATTAAAACGTATCAAAGACCTGTTGCATTTCAGGCACAAGATATAGGAATGTGGGAAATCATATTAACAGTAGTATCACTTCTTGCTGTACCGACAAATGCAGTATTAATTGCTTTTCATTCAAGTTGGTTGGAAAATCAATTTAAGAGCTATTATGGGGATCAGATATTAGTAGCAAGACTTGTATTTATTTTAATTTTTGAAGTAAGTGATTTTCATTTATATGGTTCTTTTTCCAATGATTAAAAAAAAATATTAAATATTTTATTTTTTTACCTGGCAAAAATAAATCAGCACATAGTTTTTATAGTAAAACTTGTTTTTACATGCCTAATACCTGATATACCAAAGAATGTCAAAATAGCAATTGATCGAGAAAATTATTTAGCTAGAGTTGCACTTGATCATGAGCCACCTGCAATTGATGAATATTTACCAAAGATTAAAGATTATGATGATATATTTACAAGAGATGGTGAATTAAATATACCAGTTGGATATAACATAGGTGAATTCCCCAGAAGTGATACAAGGGGAAAAAAAAAAGAATTAAAAATTTCATAACTTGGTTCAATAAATTTTAATAAGTAAATTATGAATTATCATTTAACAATTAATTAAAAATAATAATAATCAATTCAACATTTCTTTTCTTTTGTACTAAAATTAAAATTGAATCGCTTTAATATTATACATACACAGTGAATCTCGATTTAGTGGATATGTTTGTTCCAGAAAAATTATCCACTAAATCGAAATATCCGCAAAAGCAAGATATCTGGATAAAGCAGATCTTATAATTAAATCACGCAATATCCGTTATAAAAAATTTTAATATATAAAATATACATGCTAGTTATATCCCACAAAAATCCCAAAACAAAAGGGGGGATATAAAAGAGGTATGACTGTAATTAGAAATGTCTAAGTTAAAAAGAGAAATTTCTTATAAAAGTTTTCAAGACAGGGTACAAACAAGAATAGAAGATTATATGATAGAATAAAATATTTTTGTTTTTTATATTTTTATCATGTATATTTTATATATATATTAAATTTTACCATGTATCGGTATAATATAAATTTTTTATAACGGATATCACGTGATTTAATTATATCTTTTGCGGATATCTCGATTTAGCGGATAATTTTTCTGGAACAAACATATTCGCTAAATCGAGATTCACTGTGTACATATTTGTGGCTGAAAAAAAAAAATCATTAAAAAAAATTTTTTTTTACAAATATAAAAAAAAACCACAATGGAAAACATTTTGGATGAAAATAAACATCATGAAAATACTTCTACTGACAAAAATGTTGAATATTCTGATGAAAGAAAGGAAAAATATGGGGAATGTCCAACCTGCAATAAATATAATACTGATTATTCATGGTGTCAATCATGTGATCCAAAATTATTAACTGAAGGATGGACTAGTGGCAATGAAACATTAGAAGAGTTGATTAAAAGTACACAACTTAAGGCAACCGAGTATTGTAATAATTATTACCTTCAATGGATTCCTTATAATGATTTAACAAATATTGAAAAGATAGGTTTTCAACTATATACAAAGCTACTTGGTTAAATGGTGAGAAAGAATAAATCATGGTAATGATGAAAGAATTAGCAAGTAGCATTAAAAAAACTACATAATTCACAGAATATTTCTGATGAATTTCTTAATGAGGTAAATTATTTTCAGATTTTATTTATTTTCAGATTTTTTAAATATTATTGATTATTATTATTGTTGTAATTAAATATTTTATTTATTATTTAGCTCAAAAATTATATGAAGTTTCATTATAAAGAAGATATAATTCATATTTATGGATTAACACAAGATCCAATTACAAAAGAATATATATTTGTAATGGATTATATGGTAGATGGAAGTCTTCAAAATTATTTAACTAAAGATTTTAAAAATTTAAAATGGGAAAAGAAACTTGATATTCTTTATTATATTATTAGAGGTTTAAAAGATATTCATGAAAAAGAAATTATCATCATGATCTTCATAATGGTAATATTCTTCAAAAAAACAGATGGAGTTCATATATTGCAGACTTAGGATTATCATGCTCAACTAGTCAAACATCATCATCAAACAAAAATGATATATGTGGAGTATTGCCATATATTGCACCAGAAGTTTTAAAAAAGAAACCATATACAAAAGCATCAGATGTATACAGTTTTGGAGTTCTGATGTCTGTAGTATCAACTGGCCAACAACCATTTAATAATTTGGCACA